GCATGCCTACTTCGGGGGTTAACCGATTTCCACTCCGACGTTCCATCGTTTAGCGGCACGCGTACTCAACCACGAAATTCCCGGCGTGATCTAGGATTCCAATTTCTCGACGTACCAACGCATGTGGTCCTTCATGGATTCGGCGAAGCCGACGGTATTTACGTCGAGCAACGTCGAGGGCGTGGATCGAGTGATCAAGGGGAAAGGTAGTTACGCATTCCTGATGGAATCCACCTCCATCGAATACGTAATCGAGAGGAACTGTGACCTCACTCAAATCGGCGGTCTCTTGGACTCTAAGGGATACGGCATAGCGATGCCGCCAAGTAAGTGCGAATGAAAACGTTTTATACGATACATATATCTGTCTTGCTGTGAGGAGTTGTGATGCATACGCACTCTTTCATTTCGTGCGCGATTGGATTGCATTAACGAGAATGACAAAAACGTCAAAAAAAATACATCAATAATTAAAAGAATAATTAAAAGAAAGAAGAAAGTGAACGCCAACACGAAATTTGAAATAATACAGTTTTTACACATCATTAATTGTAGATCGTAAATTGACGTGTATCTTTCAGATTTGCACTTTTCAAAAACGAATCTGAAATAAAAAGACGAATTGTCTATTGTATGAATATTTGAATTCACCGTTGAATACTGATATTACATCAAGCAATTTATGTAGATTGCTTAGACACAGCAAAAAGAGTCGACGACCATATATCTTTCATTCATATCGGTCAGGCGTGACCTGGTTGTAATAATACGTCTCTAAATAGCTATGAATTTTAATGCCACGCTGTTAAATACAAAGCGTGCTGATTAACTTTTTTTGTAGTGTCCAGGCAATCCACGGGCATCGTTAAATAGCATCGGCACCTGGTAAAGCAAAATATTCAAATAATTAATAATCCCGCGGTCAAAGTATTAATCAGTACAGTTTTGTAATCAACAGTAGAATATTAAAATCTATTAAATTAATGAGAGGATGCATTATTACGGTACAAATGAACGATGTATTAATATATTTCTCATGGTTAAAGTATAAATTAAATATGAGCTTTCTTGTTGTCATTTACGTGAACATCTCTTTTTCACCCACGTCCAATCTCGTTGGCCCTCATTTTCTCATTCTTTCGCGAATATTCTTATGAAACTTTTAATGCAATTTTTATAAATTTAAATGAAAAAGATAATTTGATTTTCAATACTGCGATATTACAGTGCCTTAATAATTCCAATTAATAGCAGTAGCGGACATAGCGCATTGGTTTTGAAGAATAAAACCTACCTAATCAATATATTGCTGCATAAAGTACTTATATTGACTTAACTTACCCATCTGAATAAAAGAATTTCTCGTTTAATTAAAACATCTCCTTTATGCAAATGAAACTTCGATAGAAAGACAATGCGAATCGTTCCCTCGGCGAATTGTCGCGCGCGATAGATCGCTCGAGTGCGCTAGCCAGTTTATCTATTACACTTATCCTGAGAGATCGAAGTGAAATCGTATTGCCGGTCGTCTTGCTGATCTCGCGACTGCGCGAAACTACCGGTCGATAGAGAGTGTCGCTATGGAGGAAGCGATCGCGCGCGGAATTGCCGGCGGAACGTCGGCGCCAGGGAACGATTGCCGCAACGGTACTTCCGAAAGTTTCGCGGAAGTACGACGTTACGAGGAGATAAAAGCAGTGAAGGAGTTCCTCAAAACGATCTTGGAACTTCAGACTCGCCGTACAGAACGGCCATAAGCGGGGCCATCCTGAAGCTACAGGAGGAAGGGAAGCTTCACATGCTGAAGACACGCTGGTGGAAAGAGAAGCGAGGCGGCGGAGCCTGCAGGGTAAGCTAAATACGTGCCTTAAAGCGAATTCGCACGGTTTACTTGAATTTAAGAATCTCGCGATCAAATTTGCAATACTTATAACACAGAAAATTATAAAGCAAAAAGTTTAGCTCGGATACTGCAAGAAAATTAATTTAAAAATTTTTCTAAAAGATTCAGATTTGAAAAAAAAAAGTACTTTCATATAATAAAGAAAATTAATTATCTTAATAATATTTCCACAAAATTGATTATACTCGGATTTATAGCAAAATATTAGAACCTCGCCGTCTATACAACAATAGCTGCCTATCTGGTCATATAAATAAAAGTTTATTGTTTTAAGTGTGCGTATATGTATATATGAAGTCTGCTCGTCTTCCAGTTTCAATAAACTATTATTTATATTAGTTTCTTTGTTCTCGGTCGTTTGCTGTCAAAGGTAAACAGTGTGAATTCGCTTTTAGACCATCATCTCTTCCCTTACTTTCCCATAGAGAATATTCCGGCGCGCTAGTGTAGTCAAGAAGTGCGCGTTCGAAATTCTTGCGCCAGACTCCAGCAACTCCCCTCATCCGTCAGAGATGAGAACGTTGCTGAGAGGGTTGAGGCGGTACGCGGAGGAGACTATTTCACGAATTCGCGAAATCGAGGGTTTCGCCGAGCTCGCGATCATCGCTGCACGCGCTGCTATTTCTCGCGCAGCTGCGCTGATAAATTCTCTCAATAATTCGCTAGCTCTTCCTCCCTCGAGCAAACTTGTAGCTGTTTGACGGATGATTGTAGCTATGCAAGAAGAATTAACCCCCTCCGATTATGATTATAATCATAACCTAACGTAAAATCTTAAGCAAAAAGTTACATCACGCGTAATATTGTTTTCTTTGAAGAAATTAATCCATTATTAGATTATTATTAAAGTTTTAGTAAACGTGCTCCATGAAAAAAAAAGATATAATTTCATATAAACAGATTTTTAATCAAATGCAATAATGAAGCCGTATTACGATATTTTTCGAACGCTTCAAGAATCCTTCTTCGACCTTGATTGAAAGATTGATCACTATAAGAGTAACGCATCGACCGAATGATTTAGTAATTAATCGACCATTTTCTCTCAACGTTTTAATTTAATCCGAGTATGAGGCAAGCGTGATCCAATTTTCGTAATATTATCGATGACGCGCGGCTCTCCGTGAATCGCCTCAATAATGAACAATTCCCGAACGTGAAGGCCGCGCCTGCATTAATGACGCGCAGCGGACTAAGCACGAAAACCACGGGTTTCCCGGCGGCGCATTACCGGTAGTGCGGACCATATTCGACCCGCAACCGCGCTAATGCGTCACAAGCTAATCGATGTTTCTCACGGCCAGGACGACACCTCGAAGAGCAGCTCGGCAGCGAACGAACTGGGCCTGGCGAACGTCGGCGGCGTCTTCGTGGTGCTGATGGGCGGCATGGGCGTCGCCTGCGTGATAGCGGTCTGCGAGTTCGTGTGGAAGAGCCGGAAAGTAGCCATCGAGGAGCGGGTGAGTGACGTGAAATAGCACGTGGAGGACGGTCGCGTGACTTCGCCGGAAATCATCATGTCCGGATCCACCGCCACGCGGCTCGATCCCGACGCGATTTACCCCGACATACCGCGCGAGTACATCAGTTGATGCACGCACGCTGGTGGAGTTCCTCTCTAATGGTCTCGGTGCAGAACCACTCGGGTCTGATCCGCTCTGCTCTTCAAGTCCTTCGCGTCGATCGATCGCCGTCCATCGCCGAGGACGTCGAAGATTACGGCCCCGCGTTCCTCCGCGTGCGCATAATTTCCCTCACTTTTCCGCTATCATCGTAACCGCCGTGCCCCGCCATCCCCTTTTATCCCCATATCATTATTATCCCCATTGTCCTCCGTTGCGCGCGAATATCGTTGTTAGTCAGACCAGGAAGCGGTCCGTCTTCGCTCGCCGCCGAGGATACGCCAGTGTAAGCTTTTACGCTGAGGAGATGCTTAGAATATTTGCGACAATCCAAAGCCGTATTTCCGCTCTGCTTAAAGACAGAGCAATGCGATCGAAAAGATTTCTTAATAATTCATTTCGTGGAATTTGGTTCTTTGAAATAAGAAATTGAGCTTCGTAACTCTCGAATTATCTTTCTATAAATTTTTGACGCAATCTCTAAAGAATCTTAACAGTCCAATATTCAATTGTATCGCATTTTTTTATTTCCACTTCGATGTCAGAAATGTACATTGTTCCGGTTGCAAAGTGTTAATATGTTTCGTGAAATTTGCACGGTGCACGAAAAATAGTAATCCATAATCACTGGCATTATGCGGAAGTATTGTGAAAAACATTGCCATAGAAATTCTGCCAGCAAAAACTTAATGAAAAAATTTCGAGCGGGATTCGTTTTGGTCGAGCGCGCGCGCGCGGGGAAATTGAATTAGTATACGATGTAAAGTCTCATGTGCGTTTCGCGGTGGTCGGCGCGCGGTCTACGCGATATGTATTCGTGCCACCGTTTGCATACATTCAAGGGGTAAGCAAACAGGCAACTATTTGAAGAAGGCTCGTCCACGGATATGAATGGTGCAGCTTTGCACGGATCATTCCGTGCGCGTACTGAAAAGCAAACAGCCCTATGAGCTGTCGACGAATGTCATTGATATTACTGTACTTCTTTTCAAACCGCGCTATTTCAGTCGCTATACAGAAGCGAGACCCTCCAAAAATTCAAATCGGCTTAGATCGATCAGGATGAGGCTCCAATCCTACGATGAATAGATATGGCTTTCAAATAGATCGCATAACACACTTCGGTATCCATTCTGTATGTGTAAAGCTGAATTCGACCACGGCCAATCGTGAATAATCTGACAGCCATCATCATATTCGACGTAGCAATAATTAAAAACGTCACAAACAGATAATTAAAAGATAAATTTAATTATCCTTTTGGATAACGTATAAATTAAGCCCCAAGTCTCGTGGAAATTTGTCGTAGAATAATAGTTACAGTAATCGCGATGCTCCACGCTGCAATAAAGATAACAGATAATGCCTAATGTGCTTATAATTTAAAGCAGCGATAAGAAAGCATGATATATTTAAAAATTATTTTTGTTTGCTATTTAAAGATTAATAGAGATAATTGTATCAGTGCGCGCCTTCGACCATCGTTGACAATGACTAATGTAACGAATCTGACTCGGGCATTTTGGTGTTCTGTTCTAGAAGCAGAAATCCTCGGAGAAACCGATCTGCGAAGGTTTCACTGATCTGCACTAGCGACGGTACGCGCTGCGCTGCAAAAACAGATTCTTAAACTCAAGCCGTACGTCAAAGCGTATCCGATCCGAGTTCAATGGACCCGAGGAAGAACTCCATCACGAGTGATCGGAAAACTGTGTAAAGATCGTAAACTCATAGGGACAAACAAAATAATCAGACAGGAGAAGCAACGAGCCTTGGTCTTTCCAATTTTCCTACCGAAAGACTGTCAAACACGCCGGCAATCTGGTTCGACAAAATAAGAACATAAAAATTCATGCATAAAAATTGTCGACGATTGAATGTAAAGTCCTCTGATGCGAACAAACTGATAAACTGTTTATCGGAATTAAACAAAAAAGTTTTTTTTTATGAAACAAACAAATTATTCAAATTTAACAAACAGCAGCGCCAATTTTTCCATAGAAAAATCTTTAATATGTAGCAATATGATATGTAATAAACGATCCGAACCGGAGGAAGGTGTAAAAGAAAAATTGGGAAAGTCAACGTGTTTGGCCATTTGCTCATATCAAAACTTAGATTAATGAACGAAGACTTTAAGCCTCGCAACGGAAAAGACTAAGTCCTTCCTCGCGAAGCCGCAAACGTCTCAATCGATGTCCAAATACTAAACGAAAACCGCAATGTTCACAATCGAATTATAGTGCTGCGGTAACGGACGGACTTTTAAGAACAATCAACCGATTTTATACCGGCTAGATAGTGAATGTATAGCAGGTTACAAGACGTTTTACTGTACATAATGCGTAGCTGTCGAGCTAACATATGCGATTATACGTGTGCGTGAAGTCCGTTCGCTTCTCGAAACGATGATGGTACCATAAGCGATAATCGAAGGAGCAAGTGGATGTAAAGGAGATATATCGCGTTCTTGCTGCATTGAGTTATTTTTATCAACAATTTCTCATTTCTCATGAAAAGATACATTCATCAAACGATAGTAATTAACTGAAATAATTTTTTCGAAAAAGTTTCTCATAATTTTTCCTCAGCAAAACCTCAAATTTATATCATAATCTTTCATCTTGAAAATTTGTAAAACAAAATTTTTTAGTTAAATAAAACTATTATTTTTCTTGAAATAAAGTTTACTTCAAATTAACTCGAAAGATTTTCTTGCAATTTGAAGAAAGTTGTTCTTGAAATTCAGTTGAAGTTTCGTTGAAACTTCAATTTCCAATAATAAATAACATTTCCATTTCAATCTTTGCTAAGAAAAACTTGATTACGAATTCGTTAAAGTATACATAACTATTAATTTCCATGTCTTGACGTGTGCATTTTTTACATATTCCATTAATTACAATTTAGTATAAGTTTCAATAAAATTAACCTGTGCACGGCGCATATTAAACCGCATAAAATATCACGTATCACCTTTATCCATGTGCACCTTTTACTAGAATGTAAAGTATTTCCGATCCATGCAAAGAAGCACGCGGACTCCGAAATTCCGTTATTGAATAGAATCTCTGTGTCATGGCGAAGTAACTTGTACGAAAATTGCGATTTCGAAATGTTGCATTATTTGTAGCCGTAAGTAAAGTTAAAGGGACGCGTGTTGTGTGACAGTTTAGTATGACATTGTTAGTTGTGTCGCAATGTTTCTTGCTTCTCTCCCGTCACGGATTCGCAGGAGGTGAGCTCATTTCTCTTTTACATACTTCACTATCAGTATCGTTACACGAATTAACCTTCATAGCTCAGAAGGATCAACTAATCGATATCGAATCTTCAATATAAATTATAAAATTTTATTATCTAATATTTAATATTAAGAAATGTTCAACCATTATTATAATTTAAAAACAAATACAATAAACAATGTACAATCTTTGTATATTTATTTATTTCTTTAATTTATATTTATTTACATCGTTGCAAAGAATCCTTCCTTAAATCTATGAAGATTAAATTGAATCCAACATCAAAAAGCGAAAGTTCTTCTCCTATAAATATGCATGCATAATTGTATTCAATTGTAATTTTTTGCTTTGAAAGCTCAGTTACCGAAATAAATTTCAAATAAAATTCAAATCCTTCACTTTAATAACTTTTTAGGTAATATTTAATTATTAATTAAAATTTTTCAATGATATTAGTCTCAAATATATGCGATTACCTTTTCTTAACAGAACTTTCAATCGCGTCTTTTCAAGTAAAGCAGAAATTAATGTTTCAATGTTTAAAAAGAGTTTAAAACTGAACGACTCGTTCAAGATCAAACACATGAGCCTTTCGCAATCGTCTTTTCGTCGAACTTTCAGAAGTCCGTGTACTCGGAGATGGCGAGCGAATTGCGATACACTTTGGACGGTGGCAACGGGAATAAAAAGCCGTCGAAGCAGGCGCTTTGTCCACGTCAGGGGCAACATTCGAGCCAGTCGATCGTCTCGAAGGAGGGCAAGTACGCGGCGTGCAACAAGTACAGGCACTTCGTCGGGAAAGCATCTCTGACGTAAACAAAGGGACGTCCGGCCGAGCGAAAAGACCAAGTGATGAATTTGTTTAACGGTGTAAATGGTTAATTGCGGTGCTGTCTCGCTCATGTATAAATTGAAACGTGCACGATCGGTCAATTCTAAGTAACGATAGAAAAAAAACGGAGGATCGCAAAAGTACACAAAAATCTCATTCTTATCTGCAAAATTATTTTTAAAAGTGCGAAGAATACAAAGCCGATTGTCAGGCCGTCGAAAAATTACACTCTTTTGGATTTCGAATCAAATTCGGCAAGACGCCCGAAAAAAGGAGGAAATGAAAAAATGTCGTAGGGTCCTGGCACAAGGAGGGTCCTGCAAATTCGTTGCGTGACGGGAATTCGCGATGCGATCCGCGCCGATACAGGGACTTATCTTTAGCGGTGTGTACACATCTATCCTTTTTTACTTATCATCGAGTAAGATAGTCCCTCATCTAATCCTTTGTAATATCCAAACTTATGAAACACGATGTGAGGAGGATGTAAGCGAAAGAACAAGCGAGTGAACAAAGGCCGCGCGAAATTAAATGGCCTTTCATCGACGCCGGAGGTGCGCTGTCATCCCGCCTCATAAAATATCCTGTTGAAATTCATTTTAACGCAGTCATCGCACTTTCGAACATGATGAAACGCATTTATTCATTGTCTTAGACGATCGAATAAATTCCACTATAAATAGCGAAGCGATTTCATCTTCGATTTGCGAAATGTAAGATTAATGCACGGCGAGTTGCACTTTGTCGCGACCTGACTATATTTCATATGATACGAATAGTTGAAGTGTTTCTATGTGCAATCCTTTGTCCGAAAATTCTTACCCTTTTAGCTGGTCTGACGGGGTCCATAACGCAATATTATTTGAGCAAACTAAAGTTAATTATTCAGACTATTTAGATAAATGCATCTTACAACTCGCGTTTTCGGGACGCATTGTAAGCGTTCCGTCGCATGTGAAAGATCGCCACTCACGAAGCCCAGATTGTTTTCAGAGAGTACACGTCGTTGTTATTTCCGATTCTCATTCGTCCGATCAGCGTTTTCTACTTCACGTTCAATCGCGCCTGTGCGGATCTTGTAAACCGAGCAGTATTCATTTGAGTCTTCCTACCGTGAAAAAAAGAAAAGTGTAAAAGAAAAACGAACACCGACTCCGAACTAGCGTTTAAATCGACACTTTCGGGAAACAGTATAAATCAGAGTATGAGTGTCCTCGACGCCGTGTTGAAGAGTGCGTGACATTTTCAATAGCTTGTGCGAACACTATTTTAAGATCAAGCATAAAAACGAAGACGAACGTAACCCACATTTTATTTACTTCTCCTGCATACTTGTACCATTCATGGGTTTTCGTTATTCTCGACACGATTTGCCGAGTTCTGAATGCGACCATAGAGACGTACGTACAAACATGCAATACACAGACACACGTATGCGCGCACATACACACAGACACACACGCGCGCGCGCGCACACACACATACGAGACCCACTGTAAATATCGTCGATATTACATACTTGTTACATACCTGCGTACACACGTCACGATATACGAGTTTGTTAAGAGCCTATCGATTCTACTTCTCTTATAAAATGTACTACAAGTATCGTATTAAACGTGAATAAATTAATCGTCTGTAAATTCTCATTCAAATACTTTCTTGTAATTATGCCTTCGTCTCATCCTTTTCCCCGATGAACCGACAATTGTTAACTAACCATGTCAATCACACCGTTAGTTTTAGCGAATTGATCTGTTTGCTCATTTCCTATTGATCTCTGCAATATTGTAAATCCTGATTGATTATGTCTATTGTCGTCGTGCCAATGCGTGCGAATTGGCGCGTTTCTTTCATTCATTCATCAAATAAAATAATGTAGAAATCTCAGTACTCCGTTTTAAAAATACACATGAATGTTGTTTACTGTAAATATTGAGATATCTGCAAGTATAAATCTTTTGTAATATGTAAATGTATAATAACGCATACATAATGATGTATTTTATTTTCAACAAAATATGAATTGTCTATCTCTCTCGATTCGTAATCACAATCGTAAGTTACAATACAGATGAAGAAAATTCATCAATATGAAGGATGCAATTAATTTGAAGCTACAAATTTTAACTAAGCCATAACGATATGACTAAAACATTAGTGATATTAAAACAATGACGGCTTCTTTTCACTTCACTTTCATTTCATTTTCACTGCTAACTATAATAGTTCTAATAATAAATTTTAGTTTTACGTTAACTGCCTCTGGCCATACTTTTAACTGCCACGATTAGAATCTCTCGGTCCCTTAAGCACCGACGCAATTCATTTGTATAACACCTATGCTAATACATTCGTGCAACCTCGTTTTTATTTCAGCGACCATTAAAGTAATTAAATCCAATTTACATAAATGAATGTCGACAATGTGTGCATTGCTGTAAATAATTTTAAGCAAACAATTTTATGCGGAAATTTTTATTTAAAATAAGTTTTAGATTTTTATTCAATAATAAAAAAAAAACTTTCTATTTTTCACAAGTGACTTTGCAAGCGCAATTTTACGTATCATGGACACACAGCAGCCTGAACAGCAATTTTATCTATATATAAATCTAAGAGAGTCTTGAGAATTCCATTTCTTTTTCTTTTTTAAACCGATTTTATCTGCAAAACCAATTAATATTGTGTCCATTGAAATTAATCATAATTACATTAACGCTAAAACTATATGTTTCAAGAAGCACAACAAATATTTTATTTTAATGTTAAAACTTCCTCAGATTCTACGTAGTCTCTGATACCGACCAATTTTTGCCGTCTTCCGAAGCACATCTTTGCACATTAGATTTCATTCCGTTCAATGATGCAGACGACGCCGCGGCACCACTGTCTTTTGCGACAACGGATTGTGAAAACTTGGGAAGGGAGTTTAGAGCATGCGCCGGCGAGAAGTTGTGTTCGGATTTAGAGTCGCGTGTTGCGCGAGGTTCGGTAAAGCACGCGTGTTAAAAGTTTCTCATCTCAGGTAGAGCCAGCCGCATCATCGCATTTTGGGTAAGTCCTTGCGAGCCTTCACGAGTCTTTAGAGATGATCTTTTTCGAAGTCTTGGCAAGCTTATCCTTCAAATTTTAACATATGCTCTTTTTGCCGTATAAACTCGCATATAACTTACACCGCGCTCCCGTCCTCTCTCGCGTTTTTCGACGAAAAGATTATCCGCCCGATGATTTTTGGCGATTGATCCTTAAACGACGAAAGTAAAACTAGTTCGCGGAGAAATTTGGAAAATTAGTTTGGGAAAGTTTCTCTCCCGACTCTCTCGAAGCACAGGCCAAGTATCTAATATATCAACTGGAGCTTTTCTCAATGAGAATGTCGCGTCTCCAAATATTGTACCACTCTCCGTAATACCACGGACGGATACAAGCATACAAAACGGTGAACAGAAAAACTGAGATAAATAAATCCTCGGTATCGATGGGAGAATTATGCGCGCCGATGACTCTCCGCAAAGAGATATTTCCAATTGTATTTTATCGAAATCTATGTCACACGACGGACGCGACAAGCACCAGTGGCGGCGGCGACGCTCGGCGTCTAAATATATCGACGTCGTTATGCGCTCTCTTAAGATTTTCGTTAGTTTTCCATGTTGTGCCGGCGTGTGCTGGACCGTCCAAAAAATCTCGATCGCAACGCGGTTCGTGATATACTCTCGACGCTTCGTAAATTCATTTCGTGTGATACGGCTAGGTGAACCGATACTTTGTAGAATATCTAAAGCAGCTTCGATAAATAGGCATGAATGCGAGCCTACCGATGAATGAATGAAAAAGAACGCGCCAGACTGCGTGCATTTGGCACGATGACAGTAGGCTACGTGGAACTCTCTGAATGCTGTGATGTTGCTAAAAGCTCGCGCTCTCGAGGCAGACACTGTCTCGGACAAATAAAAGATACTCGAGAAAGTCGGACGGATATTTATGTAACTCTGAGAAATTAATTACTTCAAAACTGACATGTACACCTACTACGACAAACATTTATCCGGCAACTTATGTATTTGCGAGAAATACACAAAAAATTTTATAACGTTCTTATATGAATGTTCTTACAAGCGCTTCAAAATTATTTTCTGCAAAAATTCGAGAGGTACACGGAGAAACTTTTATATCAAAAATTACTATGTACGGTAGTAGCCGCGGACCATGAAGAAATTATAAAAATGTTTACTGTTTTTGTTAATTTTTACATGTGAAACATAATAAAAATTTTCGGTTCGCGGCTTCATGATCCGCGAGTTAATGCTGTACATAGTAATTTTTGATATAAAATTTTCTCTGTGTATAATTACAAATAATTAAAATAAATATGCAGTTAAAGTTTAAAACCAAAGAATTTTGTACTAAAAACTAAATTTTAAAAAGTGTATAAAAACGTATTTTTCGGCCAATTGTGTATTACTCTAACAATTTAAACATTCAGCAAAAAATTTAATTACATAAATATCTAGCTGCTAATTAATGATCAAATAATATGAGATCCGCTTTAATAATAGTACAGAAAGAGAGAATCTATTTTCCCAACTGCAAGCTATATATAAAATAAATTCGTGAGAAAATAACGTGATATTTATTGCGCGGGAATACCGCTTAAAAGAGTTGCAGTGAAATTTATTAAGAGCACAAGCATCAAACAAATAAATAAACTCAATATTGGAAGATTGATTTTAGACGGGTCTAAATATTTATGCGCGCAGAGAGCGACTTTCAGGCAGCGCGGTGCCTTCCGGTTAGTTTATATAACGTCAGCTGGTTAAGTGCTCGTTCGAGATCTTTCACCGTACGTGCGCATCCTTTACACCCGACTTTATTGGATACACCACCCGCACCTGTTAAGATACTTGTTAATAAACGAATATACTTTAATTTTATTCATTGTGTGTGCGCAGAATAATCGCAAAATGGTGACCAAGCGTCTGTTGGTCTTGTTGCTGATATTCCTGTCATGCGTGTGCGTATCGTGTTTTCCGAAAAGAGTTCATATAGGTAAGACAAGTCGATATGAATTAAATACTATATGCATTGAAGACATCGTTTTCGTGCTTCTTTAATTCCAAATTTCATTAAAAATATGTAGGAAAAAATACCAGAATTTGGCTCAGAGATTCCTTGTCCTAAATAGTTCCATTTGATAGCATTGATTGGATCTATTAATAAGCCAGATTCGCATCTGCCAAAAATTATTATTACCAAATTTTCGCAACACTGTCACGGAAATAATGTTTTCAAACGTCAAGAAAAGAAGTGTGTCGGAAGAAGCGCGATTACGTCAAGCTTACACGCGTTCGATAATACGCGTTATACTTTACGAAAGAACTTCGCGAGCTATTTCGGTCATGTCAACAAGACTCGATCTTAAAAAGAGCCGGCTGTATATTACAGCGGGACTGTTCCACGAAGATGAAGCCATCCAGCGGACGTTCGAATCATCGGTAAAAGCGATCAACAAAGAAAGGCATGAGAATGAAGAACTCTCAAACGTTTACCTGATACCAGAAACATTTGAAATTGAAATGGACCCGTTTGAGGTAGCGGTAAAAGGTAAGGCACTTTGGAACGCCGTATGTTATTAATATCAGATCAGTATGTACCCAGCATTTTTATCACTATTGAATACGATCATTAAATAAATAAAAATTATCAGACAATCACACTTATTTCTCGGAATTGACGAGACAGTAAATGCGAACACGAAAGCACAGATCTCTGTGTGTACAAAAAGCTATCGCGCTTCTCCTGTTTCGTGTTTATCAAACCCGTTGCAGCAAGCCCGCTCATTCTCAAATAATTAAGTTAATCTTTCAGCTGCATGGAAAATAAAGAATACATGAAATTAAACAACCGTCTCGCAAAAGCTATTTTCAAAAAGCTATCTTTATTAAATTGAATAATAAAATAAAAGAGTGAAGCGCAACAGCGTTTGTTGATGTTTTCCAACATGAGCAGGAAAAGCGCGATCGCGTTGTTTGGCACTTTGCGCATGCATTCCCGCGATCGCCTTCGGCACTCAACAGTTAAACAAAATGTATGTAAATGCAACACACCGTAGTAGAACAACACGCGTTCGCATATTTTGCCTGTCTTCCCGAAAGAATGGCCACTAAATGGTAAAACGTTCGCTGCAATTACTTTTCCGAATGTAATTAAAGTAACGCGCCTTATTACATTATATTCTACGCATATTTCTGTGAAATCAATTCTTCGGCGCGTTTAGTATGCGACCTGGTAAACGGAGTGGGCATAGTTGGGATCTTCGGACCGCAGGAAAAAGAGTCTGCAGAGCACGTGCAAAGCATATGCGATACCATGGAAATACCACATATCTCGATACGACAGGATTCTGGTCAACCGCTTCACCTACGTGGATTAGGTCTGAATCTATACCCGCACGTGAGCGCTTTATCACGAGTAAGTAAATAAAAGTATTAATACTAATCATATTGTAATTGCTACGCTGCGATTGCAATAAATAATATAGAGCAATAAGATATTTAGTAAGTTTTGCATTTCAAACAGAATCATCTCAAGCATTTATCTGCAAAAATAAAACACACTTTTTGACTGTTTTTATCACTATTGAATACGATCATTGAATAAATAAAAATTATCAGACAATCGCACTTATTTCTCTGAATTGACGAGACAGTAAATGCGAATACGAAAGCACAGATCTCGGTGTGTACAAAAATATCAGATCTCTCTGCGTTGTGCGAAAGATAAAAATAATTTAATTATAATCACGCAAAACTATTGCCATAACTGTTCTCACAAAGTTGTTTTATTTTTCTCTCTCGATCCTTTTATCGTTTAATGTATTTTCATAAGCTTCATAAGCCTGATGTAACTATTGCCGACGAAACTTCTACAGATATATGACCAACTCGTCACTGAATTCGAATGGAAAGCCTTTGCAGTACTGTACGAGAACACCGACAGTCTGATTCGTCTACATCTCCTGCTGAAACGTTGGGACGCCCAAGGCAACTCTGCTTTCGTATACCATTTAGGCTACGGACCAAACTATAGGTATATGATACATCTAGTCTCGCAGTAGGTATCTCGAGGATCTTTCGATTCCATAGTCACGAGAAAGCAACTCTGTTTGAACATTTACTTGGGATTAAATTATGGGTTTACCTATTTTCGTATTTACAAACATCAATCCTTGTAAGCATATAGAACATACCTATTTATCGTTCGCTTAACGTTTGAACATTAATCCTTGTCTGATTATAATGAGCATAATGTCCTTATTCACCATTAAAATATATTTCGAGTATCAGAATAACTTTAAATATGTTTTCAACCAAAGAAGATAGCTAAGTAAGATGCAGTATCATTGCAAATAATGTTCACGCCGAAAGTGACTAAGTGGGGAAAGATAGATCGACGAGTTTAATTACTAGTTAAGAAAGCTTCCTAAGAAAAATGTCGGTTGATTAATCATACAGCTTGGCGTCCAATCCTGTGTAGGCAAGCGATGCAGGAAATCAAAATATCGGACATCGAGAATATTATCATCGATTGTTCATCCGATATACTTGAAGAGGTTCTCAGACAGGCCCAACAAGTTGGCATATTGTCCAACAGACACAGAATAATTGTGACTTCTCTGGTGAGATATATAAATGTTTTTATCGTTATATAAATTATGTTGTGTAATACGTAAGAGACATTCGCGGTCGACGAGAATCAAAGTGACTGCGCTTTATAATAAAATAATAATTAAGACTCTAAATAAAAAATAATTCGGTTTTTAAAAATGTTTTGAAAAATTGACTATGTGATTCAAATATTTCATCGGTTAACTTTTACAAATAAAAATATAAATATGAGCCAGGAATGTAATATGTTCACGTTTACATTCTATTCAAAATTCTAACACTCAAAAAAATATTTCGCTGATGTAGTTAGATTTCTAGATATCGCAACAAGAATGTATCGCTATTTTTCGTATCTGTGAAAACATTGTTTGTCACATATAGAATTTATAGCAGTAATGTTCTAGCAATAGCTTCTGAAAAATTTAGGTATCATTGCTAAATGTTATTCATTGCATAATCTAACACGTGATTGATCTTATATAGATAGGCGCTTTAGAGAAACTTTCTTTTTAAAGTTCACAAACAATACAGATATATATTCTGTTTCTGTCATCTAAACTGATTAAGTAATTACATATGCAATATCACAACAGTTGCTAATCATTTATCTGTTTTAGTTAATTTTTTACACCTAGAAAATTTTAGCTATTATTGCAAGATCATTTTTTTGAGTGAATCTAACAATTAAGCGCTAAGTAATAATGTATGCATAATATACAGGATCTGCAAACCTTGGATTTAGAGCCATATCAATATTCCGGCGTCAATTTCACTGGCTTGCGTCTAATTGATCCTGAAGATCCGATAGTGCAACAAACTTTGGACAAGCATAAAAACGAATGGGGCTTAGATGATCCTTCGCAGCTAAGAGTCGAACCTGCGCTCATGTATGACGCCGTGCAATTATTCGCAAGAGCTTTCAAGCAATTGAAGGATGCTACCAAAGGCGACGTCAAGAAATTGCAATGCGATGGTAGTGACAGGTGGGAACACGGACTGAGTTTGAGCAACTTTATGCGGTCGGTAAGATTAGAAAAAAAAAAAAAAAACCAATTTCAACCTGAATACTTTTTACGACTTTTACAAGGAATTTTACTATACCTGCGTTACAAATTCGTTGGCAAATTTCATGACACCTTTAAAGTTAATCAATTTTGCAATTTATTGGTTTTTAACAAATGTGCATATGAATTGCTGTCATTTAATTTTTCCTTACAATTTCCTTAACAAATATTTCCTTTTTACAAATTAATTATTACTTATTAAAAATCCTTTTTGTTTCAAAAGCAAATTTTATCGTATTATGTCGCTTTCAGACAGAGACGAGAGGATTGACAGGTCTTGTCAAGTTTGATAGAGATGGCTTTCGAAGCAACATACAATTAGATATAGTGCATTTAACCGAAAATGGTCTGACGAAGATCGGCGTGTGGAACAGTACACCGGGAAACAGCATCAATTGGGTATCGGATAACACGAAGAGTACACAAATTGAACAAAGCTTGCAAAACAAGACATTCATAGTTTTAATATCCTTGACGCATCCGTACGGCTACCAAAAGGAATCTTGGACAAAACTCATTGGCAACGATCGTTATGAAGGCTTTGCGATCGATATCATACAACAGATCAGCGAAATACTCGGCTTCAATTACACTTTGCAAGTGGAATCTGATTATGGATCATTAAAGAACGGGAAATGGTCGGGGATGCTTGGTAAAATTATGTCGGATGTTAGTATTGAATGCTGACTGACATATATTTCTAATATTACTCGTGGTTTCTTAAAAAATAAAAATAAGTTTGCACAAAAAACAAAATAAATCTTATAAATATCGGATACACTTCTTTTAGGAAGCGGATCTTGCCATCACAGATTTGACCATCACATCTGTACGAGCAAGTGCAGTCGATTTTACAATGCCGATCATGAATTTAGTTAAGTAAATTTATTAAATTCATAAATAACTGTTGTAATTCGCATAATCTAAAGTATTGCGTATGTTTCTATTACAGGAATAAGTTTATTATATCGCAAGCCGACAAAGACCCCTCCAAGTTTATTGTCGTTTTTATCACCGTTTTCGAATGATGTGTGGATATACTTGATTGGCGTCTACATAGTAGTCTCGCTTACCATTTTCGTTGCGGGAAGACTTTGTCCCGCCGAATGGAATAACCCTTACCCTTGCATCGAGGAAGCCGAGGAGCTTGAGAATCAATTCACCCTCAAGAACTCGTTTTGGTTCGCGATTGGCGCTATCATGCAACAAGGAAGTGAGATCGCACCCATGTGAGTATGCAATATTCTAAATTAGCAAATAATTATTATGCTGCAAAATTCAGTTCTTCAAAAATAGTCAATCAATGAGAACTGGCTGTCGGAGCACAAAAATTATTAAGTATTATAAGTTAATACACAAAAACGTTTCTTGTAATCATTTCTGCGCTCTGACAGTTGCGCTTTTGATTCTTATTGTTTTCCCTGTCATCAGTGCGAAAACAGTGATGTGTCTAGTAAAAAGTAATGAGACTGAACGCGTAGCTCGAGAACTAGCAATACTGCAGCCACGACTCCGATACCAACCGAGAAAGTAAAATATACAGAAAGTAAAATCTAATCTTAAAATGCGAATTGTTCAGTGGTATTTCGACGAGGATGATGGCTTCCTTTTATTGGTTCTTTTGCCTGATCATCGTCTCTTCATACACGGCTAATTTGGCTGCGTTCTTGACCGTGGAAACCGTGACATCGCCTTTCGACAATGTCGAAGAATTAGCTCGTAAAAAAACGATTAAATATGGTGCAAAATATAAAGGAGCCACTTTCAATTTCTTCAAAGTAAGTCAATATTTTTCTGCATTTGTTAAAATATATCTTATAATAATAATAAATTATAACATTATAATATATTATATATTATAAAAAAAGAAAAAAATAGCGTTTAATTTATCTATACTGATTATTTATCAATTTCTTGCATATACATTATCAGAACTATAATTCATCTTTTTAAATAAAAAAAATAATTTTTAATTATAAATTTGCTCTAATAATATTAGCTTACACAATATCGTTTTAATAATTTGTAAAAAAATATTTTTGAAAAATCACTGATTCGCACAGATTTACAGTATTATAAAGAGTTACGTTTTAATTCAATTTCTTTTTAATTTTTCCAATCTCAAGGATAGCAATCATTCAACCTACCGACAGATGTATGAATATATGCTCGCAAATATGGATGACGTACTGCCATTCGAAAATGACGCTGGCGTGAAAAAAGTGAAAGAGGAAGATTATGCTTTTCTAATGGAATCCAGCTCGATCGAGTAGTATATTTTTTATATTATATATGTATATATCATATACACATATGTAATTGCATTTATTGTTATATTAGGTACATTGTAGAACGAGAATGCGAGTTGACACAAATTGGAGGCCTGCTGGATGAGAAAGGCTATGGCATCGCTATGAAAAGACGTAAGCTTTACCGAAATAATATCAGCAGCTTTATAAATAGTAATAGAGCAAATGCGAGCGAGAGAGGAAAAGAGAGTGTATATACGTAAAGGGAGAGCAAAACTAGAAACTGTTAAAATCAAGTTTAAATTGCGCCAATAGAAATAATATTGATTTTGGAATCAATATAAAAAATAATTTGATAAATATAATTATAATTACTAATTCATAAACTTCAACTTCGAAGATTTTGTTACTCATATCTATGTCAAACATTACAAGATTCTAAAATACTGTTGCGTAAAATTGCTTTCAATAATTTAATTTTGCAATTTAATCTTATTTCTAAGCAATTAGGAAATCCAATTCATTAATTTTATTCTTATTTAACTAATAATATTGCATATAATTTTTTTCTTGTTTCAGATTCGCCGTATCGACACAATTTTAACAGTGCCATTTTAAAATTATCTGAAGGTGGTTTGATAACAGAGATGAAGAAAAAGTGGTGGACGCAAAAAAGAGGTGGAGGCAAATGTCGGGTGAGCGGATAAATATAATTTTGGTATTGTAAGATGCAAATTGTACGTTACGTCAACTTAATTTCTGTGTTATTTAGGAAAACGGTGGAGCTAGCTCAGCAGAAGAGCTTGATCTCGATAACGTGGGTGGTGTATTCTTGGTTCTAACAGTTGGCGTTGCTCTCTCTACTGTGTACACCGTAATCGAGTTACTTTGGGACGTTGCCCAAACATCCATCCGAGAAAATGTAAGCGGCCTGTTCTCATTTAATGCAGTCCTATTGCTTCTCATTAGAGCGCAACAAACTATATCAAATGCAATGCCGTTTTATTGCCGTTTTAATTAAATGTTAAAATATCGCACTAATCAGAATTAATTTGAAGAATGTCGTGATTTAAGTTAAATCGATATAATAATAAAATTTTAATAATTTAATGTATAACTGTACGCAAATTATGATTAACGATTTAAAAACTTTGCAGAGAATGTTAGAGAAATGTTTTGCAAAAAAACATTTCTACGAAACAAATTTATCATATCTGTGATAATTTATTTTATAGGTGTCCTTCAAGGATAAATTAATAAGCGAGGTGAAATTTATCTTGAAGTGCAGCGGTTCTAAACCGGTGCAAAGAAAGAATGGATTGTCCAGCAAAAGCGGAAATGGCAGTACCAGAGAATGCACCCCTCCGTATGCTTTTGTACCGACAGTAATAAGAACGTCACCATCTGACGACAAATAACGATGACATAAGTATTGGATAATTAAAGTCGTTTACACAGATTTACTATTTTATTGTTTACAATGATGTGTGATATCGAATAAAACTTTAAACCAGCACAAGTTATATCGTAAGCAATCTTACGCATTTTAGAACACTTGTATCGAACAAACGAATCGTAAGTAATAAATAATATATAGAACTGTTTTCACAAATCAGAATTTATTTTCAATCGCCACGTCCTCTTTTTTCCCGCAATCATCAATTATTAATGAAAAAAGTAACACAGAAATAATCGGAGTAAATAACAACCAATAAATGGAATAATAGAAAATAAGATTGCAAATTACATCACTAAAAAGACTTGCTACATCACACAATTTCTGTGCCGTTCGTGCCGATCTAAACTCAAAAAAATTATAGCGATCAAAATGATAATGTTATATTTTGAGCATACATTTCTCAAATAACAGTGCAATGAATTTCTTATCAATTTTAAAAGATAATTACTGCTTGCATAGTCGACTTTAAACTATTTTTTATCTACGACAATTAGAATTTATAAAATTACAGCATAAAAAAACGATAACAATTTAGAGAGCAACAGAATGATTTTTTAAATAGAGATAAGTCGCGATGATCGTGTGCGAACGAGTAGAACGGCAAATGAGAAGATACGGTTCTACTACCTACTTCTCGTGTTTGCATGTGGTCAAAATAGTTAACCAGTAGGATAGTATAGTCATGGGATAGTATAACCACTGCGTCCGATAGCGCTGGGTGGCTTGCGGCACATTCAAGTTCGATGGCACGAGAGTTATCTTCGCGTCGAAAGCATTATACTCAGTGATTTAGTAATTTTCGATCCATTGAATAAATCGCGCAAAGTGATTTCATTATTATCGATCAACCTGAATGAATAAACATCAAAAACGGCACAATTATCGCTTTTTTATCTACACGTGGGTGAGAGAAGTTTGTAAAAGTTCATGCGAAGCTGTCGCGTGTCGACTTCCAAAGTTTTCACCACGTAACATTTCTCTATTTTATAAAAATGGTTCGTTTTCTCAACGCACTTGCACATTATTACGCCTGCATTTTACTTTGGCAATCTGCCGCGCGAATGATTGACTGATGTATCGCATATTGAATTTAACGTTACATTTAACTAACATTTTGTCGGTTAGATTAAAATTTGAAAACTTCTCGAATACAATTAAATTAAATTTGTTCTTGTAAAACTAAACATACTGTGCAATAGAATAAATAAAATAGAACACAATTTAACTTGCGTCAAAATATAGATTGCTGCAAAGTGCTTTCCCGATTAATAAATTTTATATATAAAAAAGCAGGTATGCTTTTAATCATCAAAATGACATTGAATGCTTTTTATTGATACATAATTTATCATGTTTAAAAAATTGTATTTAAATTGAAATAAGACTATTTAATAATTGAAATATCTTTTATTTTAAAATTCTATAAAGAATTATGTGTCAAGAAAAAAATTATCTTGCTACTTGATTTCATCAATATCGCAATAAAAATAAACTCCTAAAACAGGACAAAGATTTATAATACAGTGAACAATTTTTGCAAAAATATAAAATCCCAAAGACGCGTAACATATCCCTGATAAAAAATTAAAACATTTTCTTACGCTTTTTAAATATAATTGTGTTGCCTAAATTATTTGAATAAAATGTATTTCTCACATTGTGTTATATTAACGTATCCAAATCTTTTCTATCTATATAAAAGATCGTAAAACCACTATTTAAAAACAAAATTTCACGCTCTCAGTCGTTGACGTCATTGACAGCTCTCAGAAACTGTCAGAAAGTGTTTCCCATTCGAGAGTTGTTTTCAACAAATAGATTAAGAGAAGCGTTTTAGAGTACGTTGGCACGAGAAGGCGCGAAATGTCTAAAAATATATCACATGTCATGTGTATATATAATATATCAGCGCATTTATGGAATGACCGAGCAATGGCAATAAACAAAAGCAAATCTAATCTCAAGTCCTATCAATAAAAATTATACACAATTTAATATTTATTTTTCGAAAAGTTATTTATAAAATGCTAGAGTAAAGTTCGTTTATTCGGAATTAGCATTACATAATATCGGTAAATTTAATCATACCGATCCAACTTAATAATAATGAAAATGTTAATGTCAAAAAGTTTTTACTTCAAAATAAATATCGATTCCACAAATAGGCATTTTTATTCTACTGTACCAATCACCAGTTACATTAATACTTATTGGAACGATTCTCTTGTAGAATGGCCGAAAAATATTGCTGTTATGTGTCATTGTTGCATTTATACCTAATATTTTGGGATTCTCGAGAAAAACTACTATTGGTAAGCTCACTCATAAACAATCATAAGTAACAAAAGTAGAATTGATAACCGAGCCTACGTATTTATTAATCGCAGGAGGTCTGTTTGACAGCGATCCACTAATTAAAAAAGCGTTTGAGACATCAATCAAAGCAGTGAACAATAATATCACACTCTCCAAGCATGCGATAGGCATAACGTTGAAAGCCAAAATCGAGAAAATCAACAAGAATGCATTCCACGTAGCAAAAACAGGTAATAATTATTTTCTATGCTTGCATTGATAAAAATTTCATATTTTAAACGTTCTTCTTTTTAATATATGATCTATCAACATGGATTAATCACGTGTTTCTTTTCTAAACATTATTTGTTGAATAAAAAAATAAAATTCCGCACATTTTACCGCAATTAATGCTTCAGTTAGCGCTTAAATGCTGAATTGCAAATAACGCATGCCAAGCATGTTGTGAATCTGTGCTAAGCACGTTGGAATACTGTTTGTAGCGTGCGAGTTCATAAACAGCGGAGTGGCCGCAATTTTCGGTCCTCAAGACAAATCAACTGCGGACTATGTGCAAAGTATGTGTGATTCCCTGGATATACCTCACATTGCCGCTAGATGGGATTCGGAACCGAAACGTGGCAACATGATAAACCTGTATCCGCACCCTGAGGTGCTCTCCACGGTATGTGTTCTTATTTATGTTCTTAATTACATTAGAATTATGTTCCTAGTTAAGTTACAAACAAACATTATTCATAAATAACTTGTGTAACTACAGCTCATATAACCGTAGATAACTAGCTGGATATTCAATTTTTCGTCAGTTAAAAACTGTCTTCTATAAATTGAAAACAACATCGATTAAGATTTTGATGTAAACAATGTTTACATCAAAATCTTAATTAGCGAAATAAAAAAAAAAATGCATTACACAAAAATTTATTATTTTCTGTTTTCAAAATAAATAAGTATTCTAAATTCAAGACGCGTTCTTTGGCTATTTGCAAGCCCTTTCCTCAAGATTGATCTCTGGAATTAATCATGTAGGTTTTCCATGATATAATAAGGGAATACAAATGGAAGGAATATGCAATACTTTATGACAATATCAACGGGCTGAGTCGCATGAGTCGTTTACTCAAGTTGCCAGATCTGAATACCATTTCCGTAATGGTGTTCCATTTGGGTAGTGGACCGAATTTTAGGTATGCATACACGAATCACATAAATAGATTGTTCCTCAAATACGTTTGCGCGTATGCGTAAGCGACGTTTGTCAAGCAAAATTATTATGCACCTGTGCTATTATTTGGTCTCACCGTAAATGCCAGAAGACACCGCGATGATTTACGACGCGACGCGATCTGTATATAAAATGCACGTCGCTCGCGCAACCACACGTGTCACACGTTGCCGAGATTTTTCTAAAGATATGGCTGATGTGAAAAATAACGAGACGATTCATCCACAGACAAGCCATGAAAGAAATCAAAATGTCTGATTATAAAAATATCGTAATCGACTGTTCATACGAAATTCTTGCATCCGTTCTCGAGCAAGCACAACAAGTTGGAATAATGTCAGAAAAATATAAAGTGATCATTGCTTCTTTGGTAAGATGTCAAATCCTTTTCATAACTAACATTTCATTTAATTAGTACAATTAGTGTTGACTATATTAGAAAAAATTAAAAAGTAAAGGGACACTTGAGAAATCAAACCCTTAAAAAAATTCTTTTACTTTGTGACATTTTCTCGTATTAAAAATATTAAAAATAATATTAAAATAAATAAAATATTAAAAATAATAATATTAATATTAATATTATAAAAAAATCGAAGATTCAAATAAAATGTCAATTAACAATTTATAGAAAAATATATAATTTAGCATTTCAGATAAAAAATATTTTTAATTGTGCATGTTTTCTATAGTGAATCTATTTTATTCATTTTTTATACGAATCTTTTTTAAATGTATACATCGCTATACATTGTCGCATAATACACATTTCATTATTAGGATTTACAGACCCTAGACTTGGAACCGTACCAATATTCCGGAGTAAATTTAACAGGCGTACGTTTAATCGATCCGGAAAGCTCAATTGTCCAAGACATCCTCCAATCTCCGTCTCTTAATTGGAATTTGGTGGATAGTTCCCAGTTAAAAGCGGAAGCGGCGCTCGCTTACGATGCAGTACAACTTTTCGCAAGCGGTTACGCGCGACTGCGTGACAGCATTAAGGGAAACCTCAAGAAACTGTTTTGCAATGGCACGGAAACTTGGGGACACGGCTTCAGCTTGAGTAATTATATGCGAAATGTATGTGGGATACCATTGTCTACATCAATGTATTTGAATACAAGCAATCGAATAGAATCTAAACCTATCACAGTTTCCGCACGAAAGTGCGTGCATGTTTGAAAGAAATTTTAGAAATAAGCCAATTTCACGAATACGAATAATTTTTGTGATAAAGTTTCCGGAAAAATATGATAATTTTTGTAGCAAATAATATAAGAACTTAAACTTAGCTGTGAATTAACTGTGTATAACATCGAGTATATCTTTTTAAAAACACATCGGAAAAGTTCAATACAGCAGCAGATATCCAGAGAAACTTTTGAAATATCTTCAGGAGCAAATACACGGATTGAGCGGGATGATAAAATTCGACACAGCTGGATTCCGAAGCGAATTCCAACTGGACATTCTAAATCTACAAAATCAAGGATTGCAAAAAGTCGGAAGATGGGAAGCAAACTCTGGTATCCAATGGAAGCCGACATACAAAATCCCTGGAGTGGACGACGAAAAAAGTTTACGAAATAAACATTTTCTCGTCCTGATATCGTTGGTATGTTTCAATCGTCCTTGTTACAATTAATGTAAATTGATACAAAGTTACTACAAAATAAAATATTCAATAAACTTGCAAAATGTTTTGCAAGTAATATAATGAAGCCACATTTCGAAAGACAAATAATAAAAATAATGCAATCAAATAAAATAACGCAATTATTGATTTCATTAATAACTTTCTACATTTTGTTCCAAAAAAAGATTAAAATTATTAAGAAACAATCATATAATTATCTATACTATCAATATATTTATAGCTAGTTTTATTCCACATTTTATTCTACATCTTGTTTTATTTGTCTTTTAAATCATCTCCAATATAATATAAGATGAACAAAGAAGGAAAAAGCTGTTCCTGATAAAATTGCATTAAATTCTAGACAGATCCATATGGGATGCTTACAGAATCATCCACCATAATGACTGGAAACGATCGATATGAGGGCTTTGCGATCGATATCATTCGCGCAATGAGCAAGATACTGGGATTTAATTACACTTTTGAAGTTCAGATCGATAACGCTTATGGATCACTTAATAAAACGACTGGCGAGTGGAACGGCATGCTAGGAAGAATAATCGCTGGCGTAAGTTAATGAAGCATTTCTTCCTGTTTTAATCCCGTGTAAACTCTATAAATGCACGATGGGCTCGATCGATCTTCTTTGTTTCGCGAGTAGTGCTGCTACCTTTCACCGTGCACACGATGCAAAATCAACGTGTTGAGATTTCAAAGATCGGTAAAGCAGTTATCTTTTAATATTTTTCTGTGACGCTCGGCATAAAATTTTTCCTTTTGTTTTTTTAACTGTTTTGCTCCTTAAAATCAGTCGGCGCTAATACAAAATTCTATGAATAAGATTGTCGAAAAATATATTCATGTTTTCTTTTCTATATTATAATCTAACAATGACACAAAGTAGTACAAACTGTGTGATCTGATCAAATTATAAAAACAAATCAATTAACATTTTGTCTCGTGTCTAATATTTCTCAAATTTATATGAATATTTTCATATTTAATTTTGAAGACAGCGGATTTAGCAATCACGGATCTAACGATCACAGCGGACAGAGTGAGCGCAGTTGATTTCACGGATCCGTTCATGAATTTAGGTAAAAACGTATGCTGCAAATTCACAGTGCGACAGCATAAGCCGAGAATATCAGGATTCATTTATACTCGAATCAAATAATGTTTTTTAGGTATAAGTGTTCTCTACAGAAAACCAACAAGCGCTCCTCCAAGCTTACTATCTTTCTTAGGTCCGTTCTCGATGAGCGTTTGGATACATTTGCTCGCGGCATACTTTGTCGTGTCGGTAGTGTTGTTTTTGGTCGGAAAACTCTGTCCTGTAGAATGGACGAATCCGTATCCTTGCATCAAGGAGCCAGAAGTATTCGAGACACCCTTCACCGTGACAGACACTCCGTTCTTCGTGATCGGAGCCATACTGAAGGCGGCTACCGGATTCGTGCCCGCGTGAGTCGATCTACTTTGTAAAACTGAGCAACGCTCGTGCAGCGTGCTTCAGAAATGTTATCCTTGCGTGAAACCAAACAGGTTGTTGAACGCAACAATGCAGGTTCGTGTCGCTGCAGGCTTTTGCATGCGTCGTGCAGTGCCCGGTACGTGCAATTGATAAGTACCTCGCGCAGATTCCCTGTCATTCGTCGAATCATGGTAGAATCTAAACAACACGCTTGCGAAATAACACTACAGTTACCCCGCAGGATTATTCTTGTAACTTCTCGCATTACAATGTCGGAAAAGACGCTCGCAAATGTACGCAAGTACATTTTCTCGGATGAGAAAAATCATTCTTCTCTCGCAGTTTAACATTCTTCCAGGAACGCAAAGGATAATATTTAGTAATTATGATTCAAAAATATTACTACACAAGAACTACTTTTTAAACGCAATTTGCATTTCAGAGGAATCTCGACAAGGGCATTGGCTATCGCGTGGTGGTTCTTCGCTTTGATCATCACTTCGACTTACACTGCCAATCTGGCGGCCGCGCTATCCACAAAATCCGTCGTGTGGCCTTTCAAAGTGGCGGAAGAGCTGGCCTACCAGAAGAAAATCAAGTACGGTGCCAAAGTGGGTGGCTCGACGTTATCGTTCTTCAAGGTGAATGACACGATCCGTGAGGGAAAAATGGCGGAATGGCTGGCGACTATTGATTATGATAGCGTGTACGGAGTTAACGATATTCCGCGTCATAATTTATGCGCCTAGTGAACTCGGAGCGGTCGATCTTGTTTTGCAGGACTCCTCGCACGAACCGTACGGGATTATGTATAATTACATGATGCATCATACTGACGAGGTACTTATGGGAAAGAACGAGGAGGGCGTGTGGAAGGTGCAGAACGAAAATTACGCGTATCTCATGGAGTCCACGTCAATCGAGTATATCATGGAGAGAAAGTGTAATGTAACGCAGGTCGGTGGACTTTTAGACGCCAAGGGTTACGGAATAGCGATGAGGAAAGGTCAGTGATTCGATTGTAATTTAGCAATAATTGAAAAAAAATTATTATATCGGTACAGTCGCTCGCGATTCACGTTGTCTAAATTGTTTGGCTGCTCTATCTTAGATTTGACGAAATTGTTCAACCGACTTAACTGTTTTAACGGAATAAATAAATCCTCTCGTAACAGATGCGCCTTATCGCACGGAGCTAAACGGTGCTGTACTGAAGCTGAAAGAAAGCGGCGCGATCAACGAGTTGCAAAATAAATGGTGGAAAGAGAAGCGAGGCGGCAATGCGTGCGAAGTATGAAACGCTTATCTTCCCGTGTTGTGTTTTACTTCGTGTATCTTGCGTTAAAAAATTGCACGGATTATACGAAGATTGCGTGATTCTCAAAACATGTCCTTACAATTTAAATAGTGATTGCATGATCATTAATACGATTAATGCTTTATATCTTCAGTAATTTATAAAAAGTTGTGCATACACACACCAATTTTAAATCTGACTTATTTAAACAAACCGAGTCTGTCTGTAATCAAATTAACAAGCTAATAAATAACGCGTGCAATTTGCGTGAAAATCTGACGCAGTTTGAGAAAAATCAAATTAAACTAAAAAAATTTGTCAGCGTGGATTAACGTTTCTATTAAAAATTCATTTTCTATAATCGATTCAGATAAATTAAATAATATCAATAAAATATTAGTCAATGATGATTGAATTGTATTTTACTTTGTATTATTTTAATTAAACTAATCCTTTTCAAGTTCTGTTTTCAAAAAAAAAAACCGCCACTATCACTCAACAAACAAAAATCTTTTCTTTTTTCGATAATTAACATTTCATGTAATTCCTATCTTTTGATTCTTTTTTTTTCTCGTTTAATTACACGGACAGATAAACCGCAAATTGTATTTCAAAGGAATTTCATCTTTATTTTTAATTGCTCACATTTGTAATTTGTACTACTGATTTAGAAACGACACTGTAGTTCCAGCGAGTTTGCGTGTCTTCTAGAAACAGGTAAACCCAGAATTAAACCCAGAACGTATACAGTTACTTCAAGATTTACGAAGAAAATTGCTTCAAATATATTTCACGCTATCACCAGACAACTCTGAGAAGAGTTTATATCCTGTTTTCGTGAACTCTAATCCCATGCGATTAATAAAGCAGCCATTTCTAAATAAAAAAGTAATTAACATAAAAAATTTAAATTTCGCAGGAAAAAGCGCCTGTCAAAGTTGAAGCATTAAATTTTGAAGACGTCGGTGGAGTATTTTTAGTAATGATAAGCGGAGTTATGTTGTCCTGGATTTTTGCGATATGGGCATTTCTTTGGAATATTCGAAACATCGCGATCAAGCACAATGTAAGTATGCCATTAAGCTTAATAATCACAATTTTTCCACTTGCTACGAAATTACTTCTAAAGCTATAAGAATCACGTGTTCCGCATTACAGATGTCCTACAGAAACGTGATTATAGAGGAATTAAAATTCTTAATCAAGTGCAATAACAAGAAGATCGTGAAGAGAAGGAAGAAATCCGTCGAGACGATCACAAGCAACAGCACGGACTTCCAATAAATACATGTACATACGCAAGACAGAAGTTACTATAAAAATTGCCTTGATAATTAGCATTATTTATAGAATACGATCGCCTTTAGCGAAACTAAAGCGAACCATCATCAAGAAACCTGAAAATATCATTCTGCGAACGCGTTTTAACGATCTCCAGCGGTGCTAAGATGGGCTGAAATAGCGTAGGAAATAAGTGTCGCGTATTAAATACTTTTCTTAAAACTGTAATCGGATTGACGATTGCAGCGAATCGTCGTAGCACACGATAAAGAAAATCTCTGCGTGCAATCGAACGTTCGTGAAAATTACATAGCGCGCGAGAAAAACGTATTACCACCTATGGATTCGAATGATAAAATTTTGCATTATACTGTACGCCGGAAAGCGCACATAAACTTATGGATATTTACGTGTATCTTCTAATGTCGTAAAACGCTATGTATACGAGCGCTGGTTTATGTAAGCGCCATTCGTCGAGAATCCGCGTCTCTCGCGAGCAGTGAATGACACAGCGATCGGCTCTTCTCGCCGTGTTATCGGCGAATAAAAAAATGCACTTCTCGACGTTTTAACGCGGCGATCGCGGATCGACTTTTGCGCATAATGGAAGTGCCCCGTGGAAGTGCATCTTTCCTAATGCATCTGAAGTGGGTAAGCGAGCAAATAATGGGGTTGTCTAACAGACTACTAGACGCGGCATGCAGTCCTTCCCGGCGGCATTAATATTCTCTCTTACAGAAATCCCTCACCGGCAACTCCGGAAAACTTTTATTCTCCGGTGTTCTAAAAACAATTCTGCGGAAGACATGTTATTCACCGCCAAGTTTTATGAATTTTGCATCGCGTTATTTCGCTCGAGAATATCTTCCGACGAATGTAATAATAAAACCAACAGTAATTGTAAGAATAACTAGAAGTGGGAGGTCAAAAATACTGAATATCCGATGAATCTTTCATTAAAAAATAAGTATCAGAATATTTATAATTATAGCATTTATATAAACTAATCTAAAGATCAGATTTAAAATGACACAAGCAAATGTGTGAGGATTGCATTTAAAAAAATAATCTCGAGAATCTCGAAATTGTCTAGAAAAAAACTTCTCCCATTATCATAATCAAACGGCGCAATTTTTTCCTCAAACATTTTTTTTGTGTCGTCACAGTAACAGAAATATTTTAGGTAATCAAGATGTACGAGACGATGCGCGATAGCAGAATAGATTTCTACAAAGAGAGAGTGTTGAGCTAAATGGACGATATATAATACAGCAGATATAGCGGTACTTGTGGAATCTGAGACCGCATCACCCGGAAGGCATTAACAAAGAACTGCAAATGATGCTTGATTACTGACAATACTCGCAACGAGATGATAAATGTCTAATTCTCGGACATTAAGCTGAACTCTCGAGCATCGCGAGATCGTTAAGGATCACGGCTTATCTCGACCATTTTGTCGTAAGTACATCCGCATGTATGTCCATAGGTATAGTCATCCGTGCGTGGATCGAAGCAACAAAGAAGATCCGGCGGGAAGATACGCGCAGCGGCGCGTAACCGCCGGTGGATATCCTCGCGAACGAGAGGATCCGCTCTCCGCGGCTGCTGGAACGATCAAAGTCGCGCGCTCTCTTCTCGCCGAGAATTCACCTCCGGTTTACGAACCGCGGTTCGACCGATGACACAGACCCTCAGGAATCTGACTGCGGGAGGGACAGCGTCCAGCGGAGAGGCGCAACAGCGCGGCCGCATCTCCGCGAGAGAGGCGCGTCTCCGCCGGTCGCCTTATTCAAAGGCAGCGTCCAGCCAGCCGTGGAAGTTGCGCGGGTGGGGAAAACGCGCCGCTCGTAAGGTAGTATTAAAAGGCCATTAAACGGCTCGACATGACGTACGGCTTTGTGCGCGCGTGCACGACGCCGCGAAGAATCGCCGGCGAACGAAAGTTCTCCAAGCCTGTCTGCCTGCCTGCCTTGCTACTCGCCCGCCTCGCTCCGCGCCAATAAGAAGGCATCGAGAGGACTAGATACGTTTGTAGTTTCGTTCTCTCCTTACGTTACCTGTCCTACCTGGTGTCCCTCTGATTAGGGAAACCGGTGGCGTGAAATTTACGATCGTCATGTGCGAGGACCGGAGAGGCCGCCGCTTAGTTAGCAATGGCCTCTTCATTTCTATCCATGATCTATTCCGCTGCAAGCGAGACCACTCCACTGATTAGGCAAACCGGTAGCGCGAAATTTACGATCGGCGCGTGCGAAATTCACGCGAAATTCACAGAACCATGAACCCGCATGCCGAATATCACACTTGCAATCTGCGGAGAGTCTCTTCTACGTATCGACTTTGCAATCAGATTAGATGCGCAAACGCGAACAGAGTGGAAAGTAGAAATCCAAGAGCCAGTATCTAAGAGAAGTTTATTCTCGACAAGTTTTTAAGACATCAAAAATTATATCGAAAAATATAGTACATAAAACGATAGAAATAATTAGAGAACTGTAAAAAATCATAATATTTAATTAAACTTTTTTTTTCTTTTTCCTAAAATTTCTAAAACATCGAAAAATCACATTACAACTATACTATACCATATGTACTATAAAATCGAACTTGTCTTCCCTTCGTTCTCGATCGTAGAATTTGTATCGATGAATTTCAAGCTTGAACGAGCACGGTTAACTCTGATTATAACTCAATACGAAACGTGAGTAAGCAAACGGACAGCCGTGTAGTTTAGATTCAACAGATTCAACAGTTCGAATATTGCTTCAACCATGATAGAAGAGAGAATTAGCTCGGCTGACCATACACGAACAGTAACTACTTCTTATATTTCAAAAAAAGTTGACAAAAATTGCATCTTAACAAGCGATTTAAACTTGTACGGAAAAAAGTTAGAAAATTCAAGAGATATAAATTTCCAAATTGGTCTAAAATTAAAAAATAATCGTCAATAAGCATAGCAACCTTTGTCAAAGAGAAATCAATTTTTCAAGTTTCGTAAGAAATCCATAAATGACAAGCAGAAGAAATATTTTCGTCTCTCATATCACGATTAATATTAAACTTTAGATAACTTTCAGACATTCCAAATATGTATGCTACTTCATCCACTTGCTCTTTCAGTCATGCCACCCCGTGAAATGTCATCGCCATACGGCTGTCGCGACATGTTAAGGACTTAACACCGAAATGCTCAACGAAACGCACGCGTTCGCCGGGTCGTTAATCGTCGTTATCGCGACGACAAAGCGAAATTAGTGGGTCGCGCCTAGCATAGCCGAGGAAAATTAGGGAAGATTAACGTGCATTTTCCATTACCCGCGTTCCACTGTACGGCAGGATGTGTGATACGAGGTGCAAATATCCACTTTGCGTGCGCGCGCGTCCGTGAAATCTTAATGTCCGCGGCTCTACTTTTAATGCATTGCTTCGCCTACTGGCAGTCTCGTTTGCACCGATGAAACCGTAGATGCATCCTGATGATCCGGTTTTATATCGCGCATTTATTTTAAATCGCTCACTTTTTCATCCAACCACGTGGACTTGCATGCAACAATATATCTGCGGTCGATGTCTTCCTGGAATTACGCTTGATCGACGATATCTAATCACGAAGTTTCTTCCGCGGAAAACACGTTTCGATGGTTTTCCCGGCAATATACTCATTTCCATGCAAGTAACATGCTTGTTTTTATGCGTTATAGTATTTCGTATAAAAATCTATGACATAATACGTTCAATACATTGTTAATAAATAATTTTCGAAGAAATGTATCGCTTTTTGCTCAAAAACCAGCAATAAAACCTAACACGTGTCAAACAAGATAGTAAAAACGCATAAATCCTTTTTGCAGCATTATCTTATCAGCGTTCTTCTTCAATTTAAGACTACATGAAGTTTAATAATCACGCAAACTACAATTTCACTCTGTAATTACTATTTAACTCTCTGTACCGAGACACCAGTTATTAAATAACGACAAATTAGGAAAGATATTAGCATGAAAATAGCTTACATAACGAGGTGAATAAATATTCAACAGCGCCGGCAGCAAAAGACGATTAACCATCCCGTGCACATAAAAAGTTACAAGCTACTGTTGGATTAAATTTTAGAACTTCGAAAGATAAATATATTTAAATGTGTAACACCCAATATCGGTACATTTTTTTTTTTTTTTAATGAAACATTTATCATTCAAAATGTAACTTCCAAATAAAAAAATTCTGACATCCCATTACTCAACAGATAATTTTATAGCAGTGTCGAATCGCTCGCGGCATCGTGTGCGATCGCGAACGATGGATAATGTAATTACTCATACGAGCGATCTGACGATGATGCGTGCGTTTTGTTCGTATATCCGATTAAGGAGTCACTGCAAGCCCTGACCGCAGGCAACACATTCCGTGTTCTAACAAGTCGGAGGCAAAAAAAAGAGAGGCACGAGTGAAGAGGAAGAGAAACCCGAGAAGAGCTTAGCTTCGCCGAGCGAGCTGTAAGAAAAGCGACTTCGCGCAGGCGAGATCGCTCTCATTTATTAGGAACAAAACTTAAGAAACCGGCGGCATTAACTTTCGTATATAATTTTATTGCAAACCGCGCGGATGAGAGGAGCGCAACTCGAACGGGATTGAAAAATGTAGCGTTAACGACTATTATCACTTCAGGCGAGCAATCATCGCGCGCAATCCTTCTGTCCCGTGCGTGCGCGTCCGCGACATGATTTGCGAAACGTTGCATCGCTTAATGAACGATATGTACAAAGAGACGTAGCTTAATAAGTAACAAGCACATATGCACGTTTATTTACTTTTTCCACGAACATCGTTTTATCCGCGTATGCAATTCAAAAGCGGTGGAATACTCTGCCGTGCAGATTGCAACACCGAGAATGCCGTCGGACGATATTTATAGTCCTACGCTTGCATCCCCGAGAATCATCATTTATTTCATTGTTGCTAACAATGGATGACCATCCTTTATTTCTTCAGCGATAAATTTGCAGCGCATCATGAAAGTTGGATGTGCATCCGATGCTATCTCAAAGGGAATAAATTCTGTGGGAATTTTAATATATTCCTCTCTGCCTTATTCCTCATCGCGATAACACAAACTGCCGAATATTTAGATACATCTCGCTCATTGCGAGAAATTTTTCTACCGTGAAAATGTGCACGTCGGGCAATCGTAATATTTGCCTGATCGCTACGTACAGAGACGGGTATGATGCAAACGTCGGTAATCGGTCAAGCGTAATGTAAATTTGAACTGTCAATCGACTGGACATATCTCGAAGGGGCAGC